CAACATGTAGTGCCTGAAGTGACAAGTTCCTTCGGTTGGAGGAGCTATAGATAGATTGGCATCAGAAGGCATTGGACTCTGAACAATGGGAGCTATTTTATGCAGTCTCAGTAAATAACAACAGGTCAGTGCTGGTGCAAGAATGAATTATTAATCAGTGTGTATTGTGGAAATACAGTTGAATGAGTCTGGAAGCTGTTCTGGGGAGAACATGCTGGAGGTATATGGAGATACATATCAGAAGAAAAATTAAAATATGCATTTATGGTGACGTCTGTTAAAGTGTTTAGGGCCCATTGCTGTCTGATTAATTGTGGCACTTCCTAAAACAAGACAAGCAGTTCCTGTAAAGTTTTGGTGTTGACCACCTCAATATGGCCCTAGCATATGGCTTTTCCTTTATTTTTTACCCATTCTATAACAAGGAGAAATATCCAAATAACTCCTGAGCCCTTTAATGAGTCCCTTTCTGCTCAGAGGCTGCAAAGAAGAAAATACAGGAGTCAGTTATGAACACCTGAACTTAATGTTGGTAATGAGAGTGTGGTTATCTCTTCTCCTTTTCCTATTTACACCACCGTGGAAAACATCCCCTTTCACCTTGCAGCCAAGGCTGTTATTGCAACATTATAAAATTGCTGAGCAATTTTCTTTCTCTGCTTAGCTATTATTTCCATTGAATCATCAGTTACCACCCATTGAATGAAACCAAACATCAAAGTAAACCCCAAAACACATTATAAATAAGTTGGCACCCTTATTTTCCACATTATTTCTTCTGTGAAAAGAGCAGGAATTTATACACTGCATCTGTCTGTCTTTCTTGTCTTAGGGCTTTACTTTCACACCACAAACTGTTCTAAAGAAATGAACATTTTGAAGGCTAACACACAAGGATGGATTAATTTATCAAAGCATTAAACTCCATAGAGATTTATTTTTTAAATCAGCCGCCATTGATTGCAAGACAGCAGGATGTACCGAGGGGACAGAAACCCAGGTATGAAAAATGGATTCAACCCAAGGCAAGGCAACAGGGAAGGACTAAGATGTGTAACTGTCATTTATTAAATCACATAAACTGCAGAATCTTTTCTTCCTGAATAAGAAATTTTGGTAAGCAAAACTACGTGCTAGAAAATCATGATCTTGTAATGGACATTGTAGCCAGCTTTATTTTCAGCTGGGAAAAAAAAATAAAATTGAGTGATAGTGATCCACAAAGCAATCAGAAGTTTAAAAACGTAGTTTCTACTTTACCAAACCATTTCTATGGGCTGGATTTGTCTGGGGAAGGGAGAAGTCTCCTTTTTTTTCTTTCCCCAGAATCAGTGATTAACATATATAGGTCACCACATCATATGTACAAATCCTCCAACAACACACTGCTTCTGAAATAATGCACTGCATTCAAAGACCCCACAGAATTGTACACAAAGTACTCCATTAACAGCAGGTGCTGTACAGAAAAGCTCTCTTTAAAAGAGCTTTTAATTACAGTATATCTTTGTTTAGAAGCCACCTTCCACTACCTTTTCCTTGCGAGCTGCAGAGGAAAGCAATTAAATGTATGAGAAAATCACCCTCAATTCAAAGCTGCAGGAGAAAGCAAAGTGTAAAAGAGGGCTAAGCCTGTACACAAAGAAATACGGTACGTGAAGTCAGTGGAGGCTGGGAATTACTTTGACTTAATTAATACATGTTGTAAATCTTAAGATGTGCAACTACCCCAAGCTGAAAGTCATAGCTGGCTGTATGGTCCGTGTTTATTCCCAAGTCTCCCTCTAACAATGGAATTTACACAAAATTACATTTATCTCTCTCAGCCATATAATTCACACCTTTGCAAAATTCCCTTTACAGAGGTGAAGGGTTTCAGTAGAGCTGAGTGAGCAGGAAGGCACAGGGTTTATTTATTTAAGTGAGGCCACTTGTATGGATCTGACTACAAGGAAAGGTTTTACTAGAGGAGGAAAAGGATCTTTTTGGTCTTTTCCCATCACAGTATAGCAAAGTCCTTTTAGCCACAGTGGAAAAAGGAGTTCAAAGGTTTGCTGAATTGTTTGGTTTTGGATGTTGGGTTTTTTAAATAGTTGAAATTTACAAAATGGTTTCTGTGTTTTTAGGAGCTAATCTTTGATGATCAAAACTTGTGGGGAAAAAAACCAAAAAAACAAACAACAAACAACAAAACAAAAAAACAAACCATCAATAACTCCACTGAAATTAAAGGCAAAAATGTTCCTTACTAAAACAACACCAGAAAATTCTTCATTTGAAGGCATTTTGTAGAGGATACAAAGGTTAATTAGATACTTTCCATTGCATTATATAGCAGGAAACCTCTGTTAATTACTGTTTCTCTAACATGACTGATTCGTTAAAAACTCACTATGGAACCACAAATAAAAAAAATAATTATCTTTCTCATTCCAACACAAACTATTCAGGTTCTAAGAACTGTGCCCTCTGGGTGCCTGGATTTTTGCATAATACCTAATTTATTTCTACAGTCCAAAGCCTATGACCCTTTTTCAAAATTAGATATTAACAGAGACACTGAATGGTTAATTTTTACATACAGCCTTACTAAAACCCTAAAATGAATGAAACTTCCTCCAACTTCTAAACATTTCAGCATTTGTTCCTGTGTTTTCTCATGTCCTACAGTACAGGAGAAAAGATTGATATTAATGGCTTATTTTACCACTATTTTTATTTCACCTTAGTATCATAAACGAGGTGTTTCTATAAATGTTTGAATTTGTGAGCTTTTGTGAGTTTTCTCAACCAATTAGTCAAATTTCTGCCTTGAAGGCATCTCCTTGCTAAATCAATCTCTTTTTTTGGTTTTTGTTATTTAGTGCACAACTGTATTCCTTTAAAGGCGAAGTTCAATTATTTCTCTTTTGAAGGTCTGAGTGCCTTGCTTAAAATGCCAAGTGCATTAAAAACAGTCCTCCCTTGACTTTTTCAGGGATATAGAAGGATAATACATTACTTGGATTTAATGGAATTTTGAAATTGATCATGTGTGTGTGTACATGTGCATGAAGATACCAAAATAAGGATTAAATGCTGTCAAACCATCAAGAACACTTGGTTTTTTAGCCTTCTGACATTTTTATTTCTTAACAAGGAACAAAAAGTAGGAATGTTTTGTGGTTGAAACAAAGGGAGGTAGGACACACCGAACTTGGATGAAAACTTGTTCTAACATAGTTTACAAGCACAGAAACAAGTCTTTAAAGCCACAGAAGTGTAAAGGAGATCAAATTATAGTGGAAAAAAGCTGCATATTTGCTCTTACTACTTGGGGAATCTACTCATGCCCCTCTTCTGAATTGCATTCACTGTCCTTATGTATTTTTATTTAAACTTTGAAGATAACTCTCTGTGTTTTTTCCTCTGTGCTGATCCTGAATCCACAGGGGATGGCAAAAGTTTTTGCAGTCAACCCAAGTCTGCTATGAGATCTTGGTGAACTTTGCAAATAGATGGTTCTTGGCCATGACAGTTTATTCCTCATGTCTGGAATGGCAGGAGATTTCTGCCAACAGTGGAAATGGCTTCAGGTCATCCCCTGTTGAAAGGCTCTGGAGGCTTTAAAAGAGAAGAAAAACAACTTTAAATTTGACTGTGGCACCTGTTCATTGTGGCTGGATGCCTTAGAAGGCTGCAGGGCAAACCCTACACCTTGAGCCCTGGTCATAGGAATCACTTCACGGGATCTGCTTTGACTAGTAAAGGCTGCAGGGAGGTGTTTCTGCTGGGTTCTTAAAAATCAGTTTAGGAGCCAATTGTCTATGGCAGGCATGTCCAGCATGTATGTATCTCTTCCAGTGCAAACTTTGAGTGAAAACTGAGATTAATTCAATTAAGTTTAAACATTTCAGCTTTTTTATTTTATGGTTACACACATAAGTAGAGCAATAACGGAATATAAATGTTGCATATTTACTGTGGCATGATCCAAGCAATTACTACTAAAGTAATAAGGAAAACCATAATTTTGTTCTTTTAATTTTATTTTATAATTAGGTGGGAACCATATTTTGGTGAATAAGTTTATATTAGAGGTTGTATATTATGCTTATCTTTGTTTTGAGAGGACTGTTTTACAACAAGCCTGTCAATAACAATTAAATAGCTATTAAAAATGGCATTTATTGATTTTGTATTTGTTTTTCTTGTTAGTTTTCATCAAATAGTTCACACTCACATGCAGTCTGCTGGTAGTCAGGAGCACAGACTGTCAAAAAATGGTTTCAAACATGTGGTAAAAGCCAGCTTTTTATGTACTGGGGTTATTAGTTTGTCCTTTTCACACAAGTGTTGTGCTGGTTGCTCATTATGCCTCTGACTTCTCATACTTTTTGTTTTCAAAAATGATTTGAAAAAGTTTAGAAGGAAAACTTAAAAGCAGAGCAAAAACAATGCTGGGAACTTTTTTGAGTGCCAGAGTTTTAACTGCTTTCTGTTGAAATATTTTCCTGACTTTCCATTCAAATAAGAATTTTTGTGCAAGGTGTTACAGGGAGGGTTGCATCCCTGCAAAATACAACATAGTAAATGTCTGTGTATGTTCTTCATATACCATACTATTAAAATCAATCTGTTCAGGTTACTTTCCATTCTGAGGAGAGCTGAGAAACACAACCATCAGTTTCCGTCACGTGCCGCACCGCATCAATTAAAAATAAATTAAATTTCATGCAAAGAACCTAACTTAAAAATCTCAGCAAACAACAACAGAACCTTTTCACTAATGATTTTCAGTCATCAGAAGTGGAGAGAGACTCAGACAGCAGACAGCATGGTCCCAGCATGCTTTTTGCCTTTTTTTTTGTTTGCACAGTAGCTGTCAGTTGCAGCCCTGCAGGTAGTAGAACCCAGTGGGAAGAGGGGCGGGACAGAGCGATGCTGCCTGAACTGACAGCAAATTTAAATTACTGAGCTTTCTTTTGCTTTTTTTCTTTCTTTGAGTGCCTTTTTTTTTTTTTTTTTTTTTTTGGTATTTTTCTACTCTGCGACAAACTGAAAAGATTCGAGCACACACTAATTTAACAACCCTGCTTCGTCGTCTTCTTTTTTTCCCCCTTCTGCTTCCCGGATAATTAAAAGAGAAACCTGTAAAGGCAACGTTCCTTCAAGCAAGTTGGTGCTGTAACGTGCTGGTAAGATGAATTTAATTTATTTTTTTTTTTCTTTTCCTCATCTTTTCTTTTCCTTTTTTGGAGCTGAAAGCTTTTGTATATCTAACGCAGTCATAAGTGTGGTTCCCCTGCTGTGGAGGGTTAGGATGTAATGAAAAGGTGTAACGGCTTGATATGTGACCTTCTCCTATTACTTAAAATGGGTAATAACAGCTTTCTTGTCTGTCCTCATGATGCTTTTCTCTCTATGAATTGACTATTTGCTCAACAGAAGAGATGCTGTGATTGTCGCACTATGACAATGAGGACTTGATTGTTTTTTGGTTACTGTTCCATGCTCCTATCAGAACAGATACTTGAGTTGGGGGGTTTGTGTTTATGATTTTTTTTTCCCTCTGAACGTTGCCTGAAACACTGATACGACAGGGGGGTGGAGATGGGGGTGGAGGAGATGGTCTTGGGTATCATCCTGCCTGTTCAGCTGTTTACTAGGTAGGGAAGAGCAGCACTGAAACTTTTTTTAAAAATAAATAAATATTTTTCCTCTTGCATCAAGTGGGGTCAGTGTATCCAGGATTTATTATTGTCCGATGCTGGATAAAGTTCTTGCTGTTCCTTGCATTTTTCCTCTGGAGAAGGGGGGAAGGGATATTCCACTCCATACCTTGTCATGCCATTGTAGTAGCTAATTGCAAGAAGCTGACAAACTTTGAGAGGAAACACCAGGCGTTGCTTTTGTCAGGAATGAGTTTGAGGCTGTGGATCACCTCCTATGAATAACAGCCTGCCAGATACAATCAGATCTGTATTATACACATTACATTCTGGACTTGCAAGTGCCCTGATTTCCAAGGTCTCTTTTCTAGTCTTTTTCTGGTACTAGCACATTATAATTTTATTTTTTTAGCAAATGAGATGTGGTTTGCATTTGCTTTGTGTTTAAGGTCACAAAACTTATAAGATGATGTGTTTTTCTCAGTCTTTCTGAATGTAGTTCTGCCAAGTATTAAATGCTACAACATCTACTGAAATCAACAGGAAGGCTGAGCTTGTCCTGTATTTAAGAGGAAATTGCTGAGTACTGGCAGGACTGGATCTTATGATTGCTGAACTATCTCTGTTTTCTCAACTGCATTTAATTCTTGTTGCACTTTAGGCTGGATCCTGTAGATTTTACTGTAGTATTCAGAATAAATACCATTCTTACACTTAGTTGCTGTTTTGTGGTCATGCTGATGAAAACTTTTTGGATATAGGATGGAGGTTTCAGGAGAAATTGAACAGAGTTAGAAAACCAGTGTGATTTAGTCCTCTAGCTCCTTGAAAGCTCTTTTCCTTATTTTTTTTTTTTTTAAGAGGTATCCTGAAACTAATAATCTGCATATTGATAAATAAGATTTTCCAGACTCAAAGGTCTGCTTTGTCAAATGCATAATGTGATGTCCTGAGGGAAGTTGTGCAAGGAAAGTGGAGAAGAGGAGCAGTGGGTTTGAATGCAGAGTCCTTTCCGTGTCAGTGGAAAGTGGGAGAGGATGTCCCAGTGCCATATGGAAAATCTCATCCTTTCACAGAAACTTTGTTAGGGCAGAGGGTTAGGGGCGCTGCACTTGCAGAAGTTCATCACTCCCTTTTGCAGTCTCAGTTTTAAGCACTGCAGTACTTTTCTGAAGGTTTACTTTGCTTGTGCAGAAAATGCTGTTGGCTTGTGAAATGAGGTTGTTGGAGCTCCCACATCTTGCTTTTGCCCTGAAAACTTGCCTTCCCCCACACCAACACCAAGGTCTGCGAGGCCCAGAAAATTAGGCTTTGTCCCTTGTAATCCTAAACTCCCTTCCATTTATAACCAGAGAAGAAAAGGGTTGAATTCACTGTTCTTGTTATGGAAATAAGTTTTTATTCACCCAGTATCAACTGACAGTTAGAAGCGTATCTGATGTAATATGAATAAACTGTAGGCTGTTGTCAGTAAATTATGCATTTATAGTCTCACATTCTCCTAGAAAAAGTGCTTTTACAATGCTCAAGTGGCCTAATGGGGTGAAACAACTACCAATACTCTCATCTGAGCTTCCTAATCAGCCAAAGTCATGAGAAGTCCATGGTGGTTGGTTCCCACTCTCCATGGTGGGCATCTCAGCCATGGGTGAGGCTTCAGGGAGGAGAGCCTGAGTTTAGCCATGGGTCTGTGGTCACAGAAGTGATGACAAAATTACTGTTATGAGGCAATATGAAAACACAGTACAGCTGAGTTTACATGCTGAGTTTTGTGGCAAGAATGGATTCCTAAATTCTCAAACTACAAAAAAGCTGATATCTGTACATTTAACTAAAAAAAACAACCACCCTATCCCAACCCACCAGTCTACATCCTCTTTGAATGTAGTCTTTAAATAGAGGGGTTTTTTTAATTAATCTGTGCACTTAAAATTGCTGTTGGCTTCTAGCAATACTGTCCTCTATTCAGTGCTTGGAAATTTCTAGTTGAATGCAACTGCTTTCATTGTAACAAAAAAAGAAAACCAAGCCAAAAAACTTGCTTTAATTTCCTGTCAGTAACAGAGAAATAAGAAAACACTAGGCTAATAAAAATGATAATCTGAGTTTACAACTGTTAACAAGATTCCTGAATAGAAATGGTGCTATTATGCACAAAGAATTTCTATCATCACTGAAGGGATGTAGTATAAAATTATGAGGCTTATTATTAGGGTCCTGTCAACCAATCAGAAATCAACCCATAATCTTACTTGCGAAATACCGTAAGTTTTAGCATCATCCTTCCCCTCCTACTAATAAAATATTAGAGAATTTGTATAATTAGAAACTTTGATGACATAAATGTGAATTTCCTTTACAGAAAAAAGCTGGCACAATTCTGTATTTCTTCCACATCTCTAATGTTCCACATAAAGTCACTGCAAGTCTGAGTTGCACACAGCAGGTAAAATTAAGGTAAATCACAGACTTGCCATGGGCAATAATGATGGGATTTCATCAGTTGCTTTCTCCTGGGAGAAGCCAGATTCCCAGATTTTTCTCAGAACTCTGAAGAATTACTAAAGAATGTCATAGCACCTTCTTCCCTGAATGAGATTATTTATTAGCAATGCATGTCTGGTCAGCTCAATTCAAGTGTGATAGAATTTTGGTAAAATTCTTAGATTTTTACCACTGCATATTATTCCATTTCATTCTCGGAGTAAAAGACTCTTAGATTTCTCTTCTAACTGCAAATGATTTATGTCATGGTAAGGGGCTTGCTGTGTTTCCATTTGATTTAACATATTAGTCATGGTCTTCTTTCAGCAAGAGCCATTGTTGCAAGAACACTGTACACAGGCTCAGAGTGACCCCCAAGTCTCTCCCCACTACCTGATTGATAACATATTGGGCTACCTCTTGCCTAAACAAACTTCTCCCACAAATCTGGCAGCCAGTCACATCCTTCATCTCCTTGTGATGTGCACGTGGCTCACCACAGAGTCCTTGGGGCTCCTAACCCAGTGGAGAGTACAGAGAACCCTAAAAATAATCTAAAACTCCTAATGACTCTCATCACCCCCAAGGCAATAGAGCTCACAGCATTTATCAGATCACTAGATAGGAATTAAGAATGTAAATATATATATTTTCTATTAAGGTAAACAGTAAAATAATAGTAAGAAGGAAACAAAGTGAAAAGAGAATTACAATCCCAGAGAGCTCATTTCTTGACTATAATTATCATCACACAAAACCTTCCTTGGGTTGCTTTCCATGTCCCATGGCCTGATAACTCAGTTCCTGTGCTCTGAGAGTCCTTGAAGCCACATCTTTCCTATTCACATTGTTAAAGACACATACTGTCATCTTCCTTGGGAATGGTAACAAAGTGGGAGCAACCCTAAAGCTCTGCAGATATTTTTATTTTTTTTTTCCTTCTCAGTCTGGAACCTCCAGCTGCCTCTGTGTTAACCACAGTGGTGATTGTTTTCTGTCCATGGCACCAGAAATAGGATTCATCTCATCCAAATTTAGATGCCTATAATGTAGACACCTACATGTGAGTTAGCCACCTGTGGCTCTCATTACAGTCAGAGAAAACAATCAGGTGCTTTTTTAACATCTGTTTTCTTACAATCCCATGGAAAGGCATCATATTCAAACTCAGACCATTTAACTTTCTCTCCTCCTCAATTTTTCTCAACTGTTGCCTTACTTTAGAAATCTCTTGTAGCTACTTCATGAAGACAGAGGACTTAAAACTCCAGAAATTGCATACATCAAAAAATTATTGACTTATCAAGCCTCATATACTTGCAGTGGGCTTCAAACAAGGCTGATCCTAGTGAAGTTAGGACTGGATTGCATAGGCACATCCATATATCACTGACATAATGCCATTCATATATATCATTAGTCCTCCAGGGCTGCTGGAGGGAAGCTGCCACAAGTGCATTCCAGGCAATGTGTTTAACGTCTAATTAATCTTGTTCCTCATGGTTAATTTTATTAGGCTGAACTGATATACTGAAAGGAGGTGCTGTGATTGGTTTATTTGTTCCACTTAGTAGACCAGTGGCATTTAAAAGTCATGCTGCAATGCAATAAAAAATCCCAAACCCAGGAAACTCCATGAATGTGATGAAGTCTACCTATTTTAGGCACCAGTATTACAATGAGTTGATGCTCCTGATGTAAATTCCCTTATACAGAGGAGACTTTGTGCATTTGAAAGCTTTCAGACTGATACTTTGTCTTCCTAAGTTTTCAAAGCTAAAGCTGTGTTAAGAGTGTAAAAATTGTGTTCTGCTGAGCGACCCCTGTCTCCCAAAGGTACTTCACACCTGCAGCACACCTGGCCATCTGTGGAGGGGCTGTTTGTGTCCTCTTGGCCCTGTGCTGGTCCCATGCAATTGTTTTCATCTCCAGGTCCTTGGTAGGTGGCATGAAGGGCTGTGGGTGATGCTGATGGGTCACAGCCCATCTGAGCAGAGGGTTAAAAGAGTCTGAGGGAGGCAGCATCAAAACAGCCTTTCTTT